AAATAATTAAAGAATTATAAGTATTCGATATATAATAATTATTTTATTTTTTTAATTTATAATAAATTAATAATTATTTATTACGTTGACATATCAATACAGGCTACAGGTGGGAGTAGGTACTCCCTATATATTCTCCAATGTGATCAATATATGCCATTGCTACATATCACCCCCCCGCCACAGTCCAAAGGGGTATATACAATATAATGCATATGTTTTCAAACTATGAATATCTGTGTCGCATGATTCCAGGCGACCTGAAGTTTTGCTTCATCCATCTTTAGCCGATAATTCATCTTTAGCCCATAATGAGACAGTTCATCAACGGTTGCAATGTTTCCACTGGAAATCAGGAAATTGCTGAATGCAAGCGTAGCCCACCTCCTGCTTGGTGATACATCAGATTCACTTGAGGCAGCGCCCAAAGATGCTTTGGCCTCAATTGTTCTTTCCAAATTCAAAACGTTTTGCGCTCAAGGCTTCACTATTACCTTCTGAATGTATCGCTGAAGTCGCAAATCGTTAACACCATTTTTGGGCGAAAAGTCTAAATTCAAATGTGGCTGTGGTCCACACTCGACGCAGCTTTGCTGAGAGCTCAGAAATCTTGTGGCGAAGCTCCTCAGAAAACAAAGACACTCAAAAAAAATCCAAACCAAATCAATGAGTCACCCTTCCCGCAAAGAGCATCAGGAAAAAAATGGAAAAAACGGAAAGCAACCAGAAAGTGAATTAAAAAGAACGTCCGGGCGTTGCCTACAAACTGTCCTGCCAGGTTGCTGGTCCCTATGTCTCACCATCTATGTATCTATAGTTGTCGGTCCATCTGTCCATATATCTGTATGTGTGCACAAATCCATGGAAATCTTGTGTTAGTGTTCGCTATCAGCTTTGAGTCATTGAGGTGGGATTGCTGGACTTGTCATGCCTCATGTTCTCCGGAGCAACTCCACACAATTCGCACACACGCATTTACATTTGCATGTGATCGCCTCGCAACACCACCAACACTGTCCATAACCATCTGTACATATACTGTGTATATATATATATTTATTTATTTAAGTTTACTAGATATAAAGATACATGCTGTTGAAGCTTGTACAAGAAACCTTTTGAATGCATTCCTAATTACTTGTGTCACGACACGAGCTGGCTCATGATGGGGCATGGGACTTGGCAACAAAGTGCAAAACTACACAAAAATCCAAACTGTCCATGTCGCTTGCTTGAATCTTTGCGCGATCCCTAGTGGCGTCAAAGAAACTGAAGACGATACAAATCATTGCATCATGAGAATCACGAAAACATGGTGACGACTACTGAGTACTGCATGGGTTCGAAAACACACACACCGTCCCCGTCCTCTTTTTCTGCATTTGGCTCCTGAAGGCCCAGGTGCTGCAAGAAAATTCAAGGAACACCCATGTCACGGATTGTCGTTTCACTCCAAACTCCAATTCCTCATCGTCACTTTCCATCATATGCCTTGCCTGAGGCACGCACAATCTCAGCATTTTGTTGAACTGAGTAACAGCTGCGATGCTTGAAGTGCTGTGAGGCACTGGCACAAACCCAAGCGCCGAATCGGCTGCGCGCTTTCATAGCCTTGCAAGTCAGGGAAATCTGCGTGAGGCAAAGCCACGAGCAAATCACGCCCGCACGGGTGCTCATTGGTGCGAAGCGGTGGCACTAGCAATGAAAGCATTGGAAAGTTGTGAGCAACCTTAATGCCTTAATGCCTTAATGAACATGCGCAAGACCTTGCCTTGCGCAACTCTTGGTATTGAGCCTTCAAGGCCTCACAACTTGATTGGTCTTGCTGCTTTGTTTTCAAGAGCCTGTAGAAGTTGAACTTGCTCAAATCCACGCTTTCAGATTGGCAGCAGTGTGCCTGTTTCTCAGCATCGGGGCTGTGCTGAGCCTGCCCAACTCCACACTGAGCTCCGCAGTTCCAACAACTCCCATCTTTTCTGTCGATGGAAGTGTTGCTCAGAGCTACTTGAGATCAAAAGTCAGAAGCGCTTGTGTCCCGTGAACAAAGATATCCTTGCTCTGCAATGCCTGCATTGACCGCAATTGCTCCTTGCAAACTGCCGCACAGTCATACTCTATTTTGCCAAAGAGCTCCCGGCACATGCCTGCCTCCAGTCAGTCCACTTGTCTACTGACATGTAGCAAATCTTTGATCAGCCTGTAACTTTGGTGTCCCGGCGTTTTTTGCAGATCTTTGTCTAGCCTTGGCACACTCCTGCTCTACACCTCTATCCTCTTCCATTGGCAAAGGGCAATGAAGGGTTCAGGTTGTGAAGTTCCTATATCTTGTTCTTTCCATTGCTTCCCCTGCCCCTTCCTGTCTGTTGAACTTCATACACTTCATGCTGCTGTCATCCGGCTTCATACCTATCCCAAGCCCACTCCTTAAACTCCTCCACCTTAGCCTCGAGAGCCTTCCAACTCAGCGATGTTCCGGTGACTCACATCGCAGAAGTTTCCAGCATTCGTATGAAAATGATATGAATATCTACATTCGAACATGGAAGGCCAAGCAAAAGAATGCCACACTCTCGTTGTTTCCTACAGAGAAAAAATGGTTCCTGCCATGGAAATAAGATGTCAAAGTAGTTCTCACTCTAATCCACGTCCAGACGTTGAAAACAACACATAGTGATGGAAGAAAACGAAGACCGGGCTCTTTACAAGTCTGTGCAAACACCGAATAGCCGAACCATGACGCACCTGCTTCTCTTCATCCCACCTCTCTCTCTCTGCCTCAACCTTGATGAGCGCAGAGCAAAGGCTCTGCAAATGTAAAGAATCGTGGCATGTAGTATAAGTTGTAGCACGAACATTTTGTTGCAAGCTATGAAGCTCCAAAATTCAAGCGCTTTACTTACTTATCAAGTGCTGGCAGCTCGGGTCTGTAGTGTCGTTGCAAAAGGAAGACTAGGCTGTGGGACTAAGGCGACAATCGAGTCAATGGAAGTATGGCCCTGCAGGCGATAAAGAGACATGAAGAAATGTAAAGAGACGTGAAGAGACGTGAAGAGACGTCAAGAGATGTGAGAAGCAATGCAAGGGTTCAATCGACCACACTCAACTCATCTCAACTCCACGATGAACTGAAAATACGTTGTCGCGTGATGTTGCTTGGGCATCTGTCCATCTGTCCATTTGATCTCTCTCTCTCTTTCTCTCGCTCTCTCTGCTCTCCTTCTTTGCAGCTGCTTCAGCAGCCAGGTTCTCTCCCACATCCAAGGCATCAGCACGCCTGTTCCACAAATATCTGAAAGCAACAGTTTTAAAAAATCTTGATTCATTGAATGTTTATTTAAAAAAAAAAAATGTAAGCGAAATTGATGTGTCGTGCTCATTGAATTGCTTATGAAAGAAGCTCTGAGAGCTACAAAATCTGCAGAGCGATTCGCGCTCCAAGGACTGCACCAATTGACAGATGATGTGTCGCTCTTTCTCCCCACCGAAGATGCGTCGCTGCCTTTTGCAACATATCGATGCAATGCAATGCAATGCAATACAATGCAATACAATGCAATATGTGTATATATATAATGCAGTGCAATGCAGTGCATCAATGAAACAAGTGAAGATTTGTTGCATTATTGTCCAAATACAGCATCAACTGGTGGTTGTGTCACGATTTGGGATTTCGATGCGTAAGATCGCCACTGGCTCTGGGTCTTCTGCCTTGCGGCAATTCCTCCTGTCGCATTATTTGACTACAAAATCCTCAGTCATAGCTGGTCTGATGCAGTGCGCACCACCGCAACAAAATCTCCATGGGTCTTCATGGTCATTCTTCCAGCGATCTGCCAGTGCATAGAGGAATTCTACAAGCTGGCTTCAAGGTATTGGCTCACCCCACTTGCCACACTTTGATTGATTCACGAGACCACCCCAATCAATGCAACCGGAAGGATCAAATTTGCTTCTGTAGGCTGCGTGTAGCATCCAGGTATATCCACACAAATCCAGAAAGTGCCGGAAAGGTATCCAGTTGTGTTTCCATTCTCCTCCTCCTCCTCCTCTTCACTTTCAATCTGAGGCTTCTCAATCTCTTCTGCTTTGGTGGACCTGTTTCAAACAGACCGCCCAGACTGGTTCTCAGCTACGGGCCCCCTTCAAAAGTAAGCAGGCTTTGGACTTGCAAAAAAAAAAGAACACTTGGATCGGAGGGCATGTGGGCAGGTACGGAACATACAAACGGATGCATATAGCAGGACAGTCACTAGATGCGTGTGTGAAAGCATGAAATCGGGGCCGCCCCCAAACGGGAGGATTACCCGGTTTGCTGTCGAACCGTGCAACCCTTGCCAAAGCCAGTTCCCGCTGTCTTTTGTGACTGAGCAAGTGCAGAGCTCTTTAACATCCAGACACACAATATCGATAATTAGATGCCTGCATAGAGATGAAAAAGCGACGCTAATATATAAAATATAATTTATAATATGATATTAATAATATTAATAAGACAATTTGATAGAAAGAGAGAACACTAGAAGAGAAAAGAAGCAAAAGTATACAAAAGTTACTACGTACATGATTATATGGGAAGGAGATGGAAAAGATCGATAGGTCAGCAGACACCAATACTTAATGCTGGAAAATAGAGCTGCTGGCAGTACATGTTACCAAATCCGTTTCGCATTCTGGGGAGTGTACAGGGATGTAGTCCAGCTCCTGCAGGTCGGGTATCTGCCACTGCCACATCTTTCTATTCTCTCTTCTCGTCCATACAAAAGAAATGAATCGAAATTGTGTGACTACCAGTTGCTACTAATTAATCACGAGTTCTCTGCTGGTCCATACTGGTTGTGTGTCAGTACAAAGGTAATTCACTCAGTCAGAAAATGGCACACAACGTTCATGCTTTGCCTCTTCAAAGCCTCTCTTCCTGAAAGAGCCTGCCATTGGTTGTAGAATAGCAAACACAGTAACAGCATGCAATAGCGGCAAACACGATTTAGTTATGTTCAGTTTACAAAATGTGCACAGCTCCTAATTATTCCAAATCAAGGCAGGACCGCGATGAATTGGTCTCGCCCTCTTCCAGATCTCAGTCAAACAAAGCGTTTGCGGTCTGAAAGCACAGGCTGCAAAGCACTGCAACGAGTGTGCCAAATTCATTTGAGTCCCCGCACTCATTCGTCGGCGTCACTTTTTCCTTGTTTCATTTTATGGATTAAAGTCTTCGGCACAGCGTATCATGGCACATCGTTTCTACCATGAAGTTCTCACTTAGTGCCAATTCTGATTTCAGCCACGGAACAGAGTTCGATCTTCTGAATTTGGACGCTGATGATTGGGTGGTCGATGGGGACCGGGCCTTGCCAAGGTGAAAACCGCCCGCACCGAAGGTGCCAAGGAGTGTTTGTGCACACGCGTGGCTTGGAAGCAATTGCAAGCATTGTGTAGCATTAAATCAGCTTCAGCTTGGGGAGGTGGCAATCTTGCTCTAGAATCGTGTTTTCAATTTGTTTGAAGAGGTCGTAAAATCGGTGAAGCTGTCAAATATAGGTCCGACATAGGCTCAACATACAACATAGGCCCAACATGGCCCAACATTGCCGCAACACCATATAAGCCCAAGAGGGGCCCAACATGGACCCAATATAGCAGTAACATGGGCTCAACATTAGTCGAGATATTGCAACATAAGCTTAATATAGCTTAATGTAGACAAACAAGGGTTCAAGTTCAGCAAGCTGTGCTAGTTACTGCTAGTTTTTGTCCTGCATGGCCAAAAGACATCGAACGTGTCTGAACTACGTTAGTGGTTGCATTCTTGAAAGGCTCGATATAGCTAGTTGTCACACTGCTCAGCAGCAATATGCAATAATATGCACATATCCATACATATCATGTCCCACACCTTAACGCAACATCTTCTGGTGCGGAAGGTTGTCGTCACGAAGCGACCAGAACATGAAAATGAGTTGTTCCTGTGCTTTTCCTGTGCTTTTCCTGTGCTTTTCCTGTGTTTTCAGTTGTGTGCAACTTTCAGGGCTTGACTTTCCTGGTTCTCAATTCTTCAATTTTCATCATGCCTCTGACATCCTCTGACTCTTGCACTTTCCTCACTTCAAACATGATACGCTAGTCCTTGCATCAGGTGAATTTGTTGGTATCCGGTGGCTGTGCCTTCCTCAGCCTCTCCAAGGATGCATCCAGCTCATCCAAAGCAGCCTCTGAAGAAAATGGTGAACTTTGGTGACTTGTGACTTTTTTTCATGTACAGAAAGCATCCGTGGTCTCTTTGTCTTGGTTCAAGTCAACATATGTCAACAGTGACTGTCAACATTCACGCAAAATGACTTCTGGGAACAAAAGTCCATTGACGCGTCATGAAATGCACCTCTGATGCTGCGCTTACCTGAATGCCAAACAACAGCCCTCAAAGAAAACCTCCCGCAGTCAAGGCTCTGTGATGATTTGTATATAATCCGAGCTACAATGCTTTTGAGCCTCTCCTTCTGTGCATCCGGTTGCCATACCACTCCTGCATCAGCATTCCGCTTGTTCACTTGAAAATACAATTGCTATAGTCGGCAATGGTCGCTTTGGTCCTCCATTTCCCAGCAACACGGCCTCGATTTGGACAGGCAGCAAGAATTTGCAAGAATGCTGAGGAGTTGCCTCTCTTTACGTCCTATCCAGGCAAGACGTGCTGGCAATGGGGCAAGGCGGCAAATTGTCTCAGGAGGCCATTGGAGCAGAATTTGCACAATCTGCACAATCTGCACCAGCAATGAGCAACGTGCTGATATAGAAAAAGGGAGTTGCTGTTGGAGGAGCTGAAGACTCACATCGCAAGGCAGAAGGTTCACAGCATCGCATCTCTGCAATTCTCTGCATGTTGGGGCGTGTTTGTTTTGATTTTGCTTGAGGGCGCGCGTGCATTGCAGCATAGGTGCCACACAACTGGCTCGCACATGCATCCATGTTTAATTTGGGCGGAGCTTTTCTGAAATAGCGAGACTAGTTCAAGGCTGTTCCTTCAAGCTCTTGTTCAATCGTATCAAGTTTCACAGCTGCTTTCCGATTTTAAATCCTCTCTTCTCACAGCATCACATGATAAGAGGCAGGCCCCACCGTGGAGCTTCTTTGACTCCCTGCCAGAAATCCATCTTGTACAAACTGACAATTTGGGTTGAAAGTTGAAAGTCAACATTCCTGTATTGCAGGGTCGCAACGCGGCCCATGTCTACTGATGGTTTACATCAATCCAGCTGGGACCGTGGGCTCGCCTCTTCTCTGCATTGAAAAAAGTGTGCACCACCTTCCAGCAGCCTCAAGTCATGTTGGTGAAAAAAATATCAAGAGCTCAAGCGATTCAAGAGGCTGCTGCCACATCCAAAAATAACCAGAATGACCAGCACAGCCTTCGCTGCAAGTTTGGAGGGGCAAGTCCAGCATCAAGTGTGCTAGCAATTGCTGGCAACTTTGGCTGAAAGCGTGAGTGAGTGAGGGGATGCGGGC